CACCATATGTTCCTTTCCTTCTTCAATAAACCCCACTTGGTTGATTCATATAAACATCCTCCTCTAAGTCTCCATTCGAAAGCGGTTTAACATCCATTTGATGCAACTCAAGATCATAATGAGCTACTTAATGCCATGATAATTCTAAAGGAATCTTTCTTAGAAACAGGTGAAAATGTTTCCTTATAATCAATGCCATCTTTACGAGTAAAACCTTTGGCAACAAGTCGGGCCTTGTAACGTTCGATATTGCCATGAGAGTCACGCTTAGTCTTAAAGACCCATTTACACCCAACACTCTTACATCCTTCGGCAATTCCACAAGATCCCATACACCATTATGTGTCATTGATTTAAGCTCATCTTTCATAGCATCTAACCATTTATTAGAATTATCACCATTAATGGCATCTGAAAATGAATCTGGGTCATTATCAATACTTAGGTCATTTTCTGACTCTTGTAGATAAACCACGTAATCATTCGAAATAGCAGACTTTCTTTCTCTGTGAGATCTTCTTAATACTATTTCCTGTGGTTGTTCTATTATCGGATCATTGTTAATCGCAGGATCATTAATTTGTTGTTCTTCTTGATTGTCGTGTGATTCTACAACATTTGGAACAACAACTCTTGAAGATGTACTAGTTATTGGAACTTGTACTCTAATTTCCTTAATCTCCACATTTCGTGAAACTTCACTCCCACTTGGTTTCACCATTTTCAATGAGCAGAGCATTTCCAGTTTCAACAATTCTTGTACTATGAGTAGGACGGTAAAACATATACCCCTTTGATTTTTACGGATAACCAATGAAATATCCAGCGATTGTTCTTGCATCCAGTTTCTTTTCTTGCGGATTATAAATTCTTACTTACGCCGACAACCCCAAACATGTAGGTGTCTTAAACTAGGTTTCCTACTTGTCCATAACTCAAAAGGAGTCTTTTGAACCGCTTTACTAGGAACCCTGTTCAACAAATACATGGCAGTCTTCAAAGCATACATCCACAACGATACGGGTAAACATGAATTACTCAACATACTCCTAACCATATCCATTAAGGTTCGATTACGCCTTTCGGATACACCATTTTGTTGCGGTGTGCCTGGCATTGTGTATTGAGCACAAATACCACGCTTCTCAAGGAACTTAGCAAACGGACCAGGGTGTTGTCCACTTTCATCATATCTTCCATAATACTCACCACCTCTATCGACACGACAATTTTCACCTTTACGTCTAATTGCCTCTCCACTTCGTTTATATAACTTTCTAAGGCATTTACTTGCTTGAGATTTCTCATATAGTAAATAGACATATCCATAACGCGAGAAATCGTCAATGAAAGTGATGAAATACTTCTCTTTATTAAAAGAATTTACGTCAAATGGACCACATATATCGGTGTGTATGATTTCAAGAAGTTGAGTGCTTCTTGTGGCTCCTTTCTTTGTGTGTTTTGTTTGTTTGCCTTTAATACAATCCACACATACATTCGGATCAGTAAAATCTAAATCGGAAGGATTTCATTCTTTACTAATCTTTGCATTCTTTCTTTGGAAATATGTCCCAAACGCTTATGCCACAAATAAGCGAGATCTTTCATCCACCAAACTACGTTTAGTGCCAACATTATGATGCAAGGTCATGAGAGTTTCGGCATATAAATTATCCAAATTCAATTTATATAAACCATCATAAAGTGTACCAGTTCCAATCATACATGTACGCTTAAATAAACTGAAACAACTATTCCCAAACTTAAAAGAGTATCCAGCAACATCAAGCTTAGACAAAGAAACTAAATTTCTAGTGATACTAGGTACATAAAAAGTATCCATAAGGTCTAAGTGATATCCGAGTGTCAAGGATTAAACGATAAGTCCGACGACTTCCACTTGGAACCTTGACTTTATTCCCCATGAAGACGAACTTCTCATTTGGGTTTATGGTTCGGGTTGAAAGGAATCCCTGCATCACATTAGAAACATGAGTTGTACATCCAGAATCAATCCACCAAGTATTATGGGGAACTTCGGTTAAATTTGATTCAAAACATACGTAAGCACTATGCTCACCTTTCTTTTCGAACCAAGCTTTACGCTTTAAGCAGTCCTTCTGAAAATGTCCAGACTTCCCGCAGAAATGACATTTGTCATTTTTCTTCTGAATGTTAGTAGAAGACTCGTTAATCTTTAATGGTCCTTTACCCTTTCCATGTTTCTTAACAACTTTCTTTTTAGCTCCTTGATTTTTCACGTAATGAATAGAGTGGCTTCCTAGGTTCTTGAGTCTGGTCTCCTCCTGAACTAACATATTGTGCAATTCATGCACATTCCATTTGTCTTTCATGGTGTTATAATTCATCTGAAATGGACCATACTCAGGCGGTAACGAGTTCAAAATGAACTGCACAAGAAAATTTTCTTCCACTGCCATTCCAAGAGACTTCAGTCTTGCTGCGATATTTGTCATTTCAATTACGTGTTCATGCATACTACGAGAACCATCAAATTTCATGGTGGTCAACGTACTCATCAATGTCCCTGCGAGGGATTTGTCAGCAGTTTGAGAGCGCTCTTCCACAAATTTCATAAACTCTTTCGCATCCTCAGTTTTGGGAAGAGCAGACTTAATATTGCTTGCTACACTCATTCGCATAAACATAAGGCTAAGTCTGTTTGATCTTTCCCAAGCTCTATAATGAGTTTTCTCTTCATTACTACTAGCATCAGTGATAGCAGCCGGTTTTTCAACTTGGAAAGCCAAATCAAGATCCAACACACCTAAGTGAAATTGGACTTGTTCACTCCAGTCAGGGAAATTTAACCCATTAAAGACTGGAACAGACGAAGATAGCGAATGCAGAGCTACAGGAACAGATACTGCAATTAACACATGCCTAACATTAATACTTTGAGTCATAAAATTAAACATAAATACAGATTCAACCATAAATTACCATTCTCTGCATACTAATGTTCTCCTTTGGGAGATCCACCAATACACAAACATAATTACGCTAATCATTTTATAACATTAATGATAATTAAAATATGCATCAACTAGAATCACCTAACACCTTTGGGTATATAAATAAAACTAGTGACGCACAGAAAATTATCTACTTTCATGTTCATTAATTATAATAACAACTAATCAACCTTTGGGTGATCCTGAAATGCCTTATAATAATGAACTTCAATTAACCCGTAAACCAATTATTCATAATTTTAGCGTTCATACTATGGGTAATTGAAATAAAATCACTAATAATTTGAAATTAAAATAACCTTAAAATTTTGGCCACTTTGGTGACTAACAAAATTTATCATGCTTAATTTCAAATAAATACCATCTTTAATTGCTATTAACTATTCATAGCATTTTTCATTAATTTTTAATTTATCAATAACAAAACATAACATTATTATTATAAATTAAAATTCATTCTTTTTTATAATAAAATAAAATTATAAAAGAGAATTCTCCTCCACAAGTAACATTCACATTTCACATTCATACTTAAATTGGATTTTAACAATTGCAGCGGAAACAGAATTAAAAATAAAAAATAAAAAATTGTAGAATGTTATTATCTTGTTTTGGAGGATTAACTTCATCAACCCATGACATCCTTACTTTTCCTGGATCAGCCTTATTTTAAACTCTAGTTGCCGAACCATAAACGATTTTCTTAATCGATTTTCTTTTAAGCATAATTTTGAAACGCTCATTAAGAAGAACGTCTCAATAAACACTCTGTTTTTCCCATTAATCCTATAAAGTCAAGTACGCACGTTTGCAATTCATATAATAATTAAAATCACGCATTAATTCTATACTTGGGCTACGTGATTCTTTCCATTATACATTTATAATATCAATTAAAATTTTTCACATTAGCCAGACGTGAAATATTTCAATTGCCCAGGTCCCCATCAACCAAACAGTAAAATACCTAGATCTTTCTTTTCAATTAAAAGGATTGCGTAATGATTGAAACACATCAATTATCAAATTGATTTCAATTTGAAATTGAATACAGCTTTATCCATAAATTAGGGTTTATCCTTTTATTTAATTTTGAGAAAAACGTATTATGGGAATAAATTAGGGTTCTCGTTAATTTGATACAAATTCCTAAATTCATAATTAGGGTTTATCTTAATTTGGGAAAAACTATCATAAGAGGAAAATCATAAATCTAATAAACCTGCTCTGATACCACATGTAAACTATTCTGTAGTTTTCCTACGTTCTTAATTCGTTATAGAAAACTACTCTACAGGATCTTTAGATTATTGATTTTCACAATTTTGCATACATCCATACATGAATCATAGTAAGAGAACTAACCTTGATCCATGAGAATCTTTTCTTGATCTTTTCGTTCTCCAATCTCCTTTTCCCAATCTATCTCTTTGCCTTTCTTTCTCTTCTCACGCTTCGTTTTCTTGATGGTTTATCGTGAAAAAACCTTATGGCCAGAGACAGAACCCTAATCCCTTTTATTAACCAACGTCCATCGAGTTGGTTACATTAAGTTAATATTTTATTTTATTTTTATTTTATTCTGACTTCACATAATAACCAATAGGTCCTCTTAGTTATTAAATCACATTTGGGCCCATTATTATATTTCACATGAGTCACATAATGGAATGAATTAATTAAAAATTAATTCTAACAGATCCTTCTCATGACAAGACACTTCTGTCATTTGCAAAAGTGGATTTCAATATTCTTCAAAAATTGCATCAAAAGGAAATTATCACAATCAACAAGTAAGTCCTATATGCCTTTAATTTTTCCCAAAATTATAAATTATATATCCAATAGGAAGATGAATTTAGAATCATATTGATTTGTAGCTCATGATTTTTGTTAATAATGTATTTTTTATTTTATTTTATTTTAGATGGAATATTAGTCCCATTGAATCTCTTCCACAGTGCATGAAAGAAGTATTTCATTCAGTTCTAGAATTGTCTGATGAAATACAGTTGGCGACAACGGCCTGTGGAAAATCAAGCTTTGTGGTGCCACATTTTAGAAAAGCTTATGGTAATTTCAATTTTATTATTATTCTTTACAAGATTATGATTATCTTATCAATATAGTTGCTACTTTTCTTGCAGGTTTTTAATTTAATAAATGGTTACATGGTTGAAGCAAAATGGTGCCATGAGGGCTACATTCCAACATATGATGAATACAAAGTTAACGGAATTTTCACTTCTTGTTTCCCCCTTTTCATCACAGCGTTTATTGGCTTTGGAGAATTTGCAACAGAAGAAACGTTCGATTGGATTTCTAGTGATCCAAATATCATTCAAGCTGCATCAATTATTGGCAGAGTGTTGGATGACATGGCTTCACATAAGGTGTTAATTCATTTTCCTTTTTGTAAAATTGAAGATTTGATTTGCAGTATACACATGACTTAATTCCTAATTACTTTTGGATTTGCTTTGATTAATAGTTTGAACAGCAAAGAGTACATGTTGCCTCAGCAGTTGAATGTTGCATGAAGCAACACGGCATTTCAGAAGCAGAGGCCTATTACTTTATTCACAATGATGTGAAAGACTGCTGGAAGGTTATAAATGAAGAGTTTATCCAGTCAAACGATATCTCAAAATCTGTGCTTGAATTCGTAGTTAATTTGGCACGTATATCTGAGGCTTCGTACGAAAATCATCAGGATAAATATACACATGGAGAATTACTGAAAGATTACATCTCTTCGTTGCTTTTGGATCCACTTTCCCTTGATCTAGATGAGTAACAGAAGCTATTTCATATAAAAAAGATAAAACAACTAAGAATACTATAGGTTGCTATGTACAAATAGGCATAAATAAAAATGCAAGAAGTGTGGTTTGTATGTGTAGTTGTTTGTTCGATGTCTGTGTGCTGTGGTTTGCTTATTTATCAAAGGAATAATGTTTAACCATCTCAATTTGGAATCAGTTTCTGTCGATGATATTTTTGTTCAATAAACACCAAATGAAATTTATACCTATTGAACATTATTAGTAGTTGACAAATAAAGACAAATGATCAACACGCATGCAAACTTCTCTAATGCACATATAATCCATTGCCACCAGATGCGACTTCCTCCTGGTATGTGCTACTATAATCCACCCTCATATACGTCAGCAGAGTTCAAGCATCATATTTTTAGTCCCATCAGAATCCCCCTTTGCCCTTCAAACACGATCCATCGACGTTGTGTTAAATTCTTGCTTCAGTGTACTGGACGTGATTTAAGTGACTCAGTTTTAACGGTTTTTTTTTTACCATTCGGGTCAAGAAATTTCGATTTTATTAAAGGACATCGAAAATTTAAGATTTTTTTAAAATTTTGATTTTATTAGAGGAGATCGAAAAGTTAAAATTTTTTAAAATTGTGTTAGGTGAGATGATTTTGAGAGTAAAAACGTGTTTAGAAACACATCTTTAATTGAAATCGTGTTTTCAACCATGATTTTGTTTTTTTTAATATATTATTTATTAAATAGTTATGTTTAATTGAATTATTAATTTTATAAAAAATAAAAATACATAGACAAATATTAAATTTAATTTATTATATTTATATTAAAATATAATATTATTTTTAAAAAGATACAAATTTATTATTGAAATTGATAATTTGCACAATCATGTCCTCTGTTTTGATAAAAGGAACTTTTTTTGTTTATTTTTAACTTATACATCCATTTCATTTTGAATTTGATTAGTGGTAGGTCTTCTTCATGTGTCTTTTGTCGAAATGAAATAGACGTACAAGTTAGAAATAAACAAAAAAAATATTTTCTTTTTATCGAAATTAATGATATAATTGTGCAAACTGTCTATTTCAACAATAAATTTATATATTTTTTAAATAATATAATATTTTGATATAAATACAGTGAATTAAATTTAATCATATTTGTCTAAATATTTTTGTTTTTTATTAAATTAATAATTCAATTAAAACTAATTATTTAATAAATAATATATTTAAAAAAATAAAAAATCCTATTTTTTGAAAAACAAATTGTGAGAAACTCGTAATAGGTAACACGAGTTTAATATTTATACATAATTCGTGTTACCAAGCATGAGTTCAGTATAAATACATAATCATGTTATCAAGCATGTATTTTTTCTTAAAAAAAAAACAATAACAACAACGAACACGATTTTAGTTAAAAGTGTGTTTTCAAACAAGATTTTTTCATCATCTCATACTCGTTTCACCTAGTACGATTTAACTCATTTTGAAAAAATTTTAAATTTTTTATCCCTTTGGTAAAATCAAATTTTTTTGACCCAATATAATAAAAAAATCGAGTTTTAAAATTTAGTTAGAAGGAACCTCACTTAAGAAAAACAAATTAGGAAACAAATAATTGATCTTAAGAGAGTCAAATAATATATTATGAATGAATTTGAAAAGATTAAAAAATATAAAATAATAAAATATTAAATTTGTAAATATACAAATAAATATTTGTAAGGAGGTGAAAATCATAAATACTAATATAAATTGAAAATCATGACCCTAGTCTCTAACAAAATTTCATTCTTGCGTTTGATTGGTGGTGCATCCATTGCATACAAACTCTTAAGTTTTGTATGGTCAACTTAATTAGTAGTTACCTATCTTATTTATATGGTTTTTTTTTTTAGGAAGAAATGTCTTAAAATTGTTGCATCACATATTGGATGTGAAGACATTTAAGTTTTGTATTCTAAATTTAATTAATAATTATATATTTTATTTGTAAGCTACTTTTTTGTTATAAGACATATCTTGAAATGTATATCACATTACATGTGAAGACCTTAAATTTTGTGTTATCAATTTAATTAGTAGCTACATATCTCATTGTTACACTTTTCATGAAAAAACATCTTCAAAATTGTTATATCACATTACATGTGAATACCTTAAATTTTGTATTATCAATTTAATTAGTAGCTACATATCTCATTGTTACACTTTTCATGAAAAAACATCTTCAAAATTGTTATATCACATTGCATACGAAGACCCTTAAGTTTTATGTTGTCAATTTAATTAGTAGCTACATATTTCATTTGAACCTTCTTAAATCCATCACGGCATGGTAAATCTCATTGCATGTAAAAACCCTTAAATTGTGTTATTAATTTAATTAGTAGTCACATATCTCATTCATAAACTACGTTTTTTTTTTTTTTCATGAAAAGAAACACTTTGAAAGTTGGTATATCACATTGCAGGTAGACACTTAACTTTTGTTTTGTCGATTTAATTAGTAGTTACATATCTCATTTATAAGCTACATTTTTTTTCATCACAAGAAACAAACTGGTGTATCACATTGCATGTGAATACTTTTAAGTTTTATATTGTCAAATTAATTAGTAATTAAATGTCTCATTCATAAACTATGCTTATTCATAAGAATAAACATCTTGAAAACTTATGTATCATATTGCATGTGAAGACCCTTAAATTTTGTATCATATACTTATCTATATATCTCACTAATAAGTTATAATAAATCAAGTTAGATATTCAAAGGTACATATCTATAACTTATAAATAAAATTATCAATGACGTTAAATTCCATAAACTCGTAATAATCTTATATTTTAATATGCTATTTATAATATTTTTATATCATATAATATTTATCTCAATTTCAATTCCTTATAAAAAGTAGTTTGATTAATATAACTTGTATCTTTAACGCACACAAGTTAATAACATTAATTACACATTTCTTATATTAATTGACATGCAATAATAAATTGATTTTATTAATTGGTTTTTCATGTTATTTATCTTGTCATTTTTATTTTTTCCATTTTAAACATTCAAAATGTAAAAATGATATAATTATATATATATATATATATTTTGTTTAAAAAAACAATCACATTAAGTGCTTGGCAAAACAACTAAGTCCATTTATTGTTGCACAAATTAATCATTGCTTAAGGCCACAAGTTTAAAGTTATGTTTATTCGTCTTCTTTTGAATAGGGATATGTTTACGAGTTTTTTATTATTTTAGAGCCAAATATAATAATAATAATTTATATATATTTTTCTATTTTCATTTATCGAAACATCCTTTTAAAGATACAGTAAATTAGAATTCAAAAATAAATAATATTAAACTTTAATAATACTATCATAAATGACATGATGATAAGAAAAATTAAGAACATTTCCATGACATACACTATTAAACATTATAAAAGGAGATTTCAACATTGATATGAATCACAATGAGTGATTTAGGATCTTTAGGGTTAGAACCTTATAAGAAATTTAGGAATTTAGTGATAAGGTGGAAGGAAAGAATCACTCTTCCCAAGGAAGACAACTCACAAAGGATGTGAAAGTCCTTTGATACACCCCAAAGGTTCTTGAATCACACAAGAATTTAGGAGAATCACTCTCACTAAGATAAAAGAGATAAACTCTAATATTTCTGAATAAAATTTCACTTGTTATTTTTTATAAAAATGGTTCAGCCTATATAAAAGCTTTGTCATCAAAATTACAAATATTCAATAAAGGAAAATAAATTCTAATAATGATTTATTAACCTAGAAATTAAAAATTACTTAATGGAGACAAATAAAGACTAATAATAATTCATTAACCTAGGAATTGATACTACTTAATGACTGATTGTAACTAAAATTGTGGCAACCAAAAGTCAATCAATTATACACCATCTTGGTCTCCAAAAAACTGATAACTAAATTTCCAATTGGACCCTTATTACAACCTACAATAAAATCAAACTAAAGTCCATTAATTGATTAATCCAAAACACAATTTGGTAAACCAACAATACTTGTTGAAGAACTTCATTTGTTTCCCTTGCTCTAACCCTTACCATAGGTCATGTTCACATCATTCTCTCCCTCTTGAAAATGATTTGTCCTCAAATCGTATTCGTCATCTACATAAAAAAGAGATAAGTCTAACAAATAAAATGTAGAACTAACATTATACTCATTTTTTATGGCTAAATAGCTCTCCCTCACTTCAAGTGTTTCACTATTCTTTTTATCACTCTTTTTTTTTCTCAAGTGTTTCACTAATGCTTTTTTTTCTCTCTTTTCTTGAAGAAATTGTTTTTTCATTTTCTTTTTATCCTCACACACTTCTTGTGAACTCAAAGGTTTGAGCACAATCTTTTTGTCTTGGTGCATGAAAGAGATCTTGTTGGTGAACTCGTCATGATTGACTCTTTTATCCAATTGTCATGGTCTCCCCCAAAGTAAGTGACTGACCTCCATAGGAACAACATCACAAAGTACTTTATTATTGTATTTTCCAATGGAAATATTCACTTCAACTTGCTTTCTCACTTGCACCTCTCCATCTTTACTAAGTCATTGAAGTTTATAAGACCTAGGATGTGGTTTAGTAGGTAAATTTAGCTTTGACACTAATCTAGCACTAGTCACATTAGTGCAACTACCTCCATCTATGATCATCATGCACACTTTGTCATTGATTAAATATCTCGTATAAAAAATAATTTTTTTTTTGGCTTTCTTCCATAGGCTTCAATTGCCCATCAAGTAATTGCCTATTCATTAATAAATCTCCCTTTGGAATCTCCTCCTCCTCTATGTCCTCACTCTCCTCTCCCTCTTCAACCTCAGATTCACTTATATATTCTCCTTCTCTAAGAACCATAAACCTTTTGTTAGTGCACTCATAAGCATAGTTTCCTAGGCCTTGACATTTGAAACACTTCACATCTCTAATTCTTT